GTTCCAAGGTCTGGCACAGATGCAGAACTCCATGTTCTGCGGGACAGCAGGAGTTAGAAAAGCTGTAGCAGTGCTATCTGACTGTCCTCCCACACCCTCAGCTGCTCCCAGGCTTTGCTGTACCTGCGTATTCCACCCTATCTGGCAGAGATGGGAAACTGTGGGAGCAAACACTGATTGTTTTACCCAGAAGTCAAGGCAATAATTCTGACAGTTACCTCTGTGCTACTGTAATGCAAATCGTAAGAGACTGTATTTGTTTTCAAATGCAGTCACCTGGTAGGCTTGTCATCCTGGTTTTGGCATTGCAGTATTTGCGCTCTCTGGGGAGAAGACTTACTAAACCAATTAACTGAATTATTCTCCCTCCAGAAAATACGCAGCCATTTCCTCTTCGGAGCAGCGTCAGAGTTACAAAAATGACTTCAATGCAGAATACAACGAGTACAGAGACTTGCATGCTCGGATAGAGAGGATAACTCGACGGTTTACGCAGTTAGATGCCAAGCTGAAGCAACTTTTGCAGGGCTCTGAAGAATATAAGGTAGAAACAGAAATATATATCTTCCAAAAAGCTATTTCTGCAAGTGGCAATGCTACAGCTCGTTTTAGTCACTCCGTATGTGGGGCTCTTTGGGATGGGTTGGTGTCTAAAACGTACTGCCCAGAGCCCCGAACTGGTGGATGCAGAACGTGCACACAGCTGACAGCTTTGTAGACTGTTCTTAAAACAGCTCTGTGTTCTTTCGTTTTCAAGCTGGAGCACACATCATGGTACTTGTTGACAAGGAAAGGCCTCAGTGAGACAATTGGCATCTTTAGCCAAAAGCTGCTGGAAGCTATTAGGGTATCCCAGCCAAAAAATTCATATTCGCACATATGGTAGTGTATCGGGGCTGGAAGGGGAGTTAGTGCGGGGTCATCTGTTTCTCTGGAATCTTTGATCTTAATAATGTAGCATTATTCGATTTGTCAGACTGATTTTAAAAGAGCTTTAACTATTCATTATCTTGAGAAAGTAAGTCTCATTGAGTATAATAAACAGATTTTTACAGAGCACCTATTGTAATAAGCACTGTTTCCTCCCTCAAACATCCTTCTCCCTTCTTTGAGAAATTCAGTGATTCCTCACTGAATTATTTTTATATCTCAGGGAGAAATTAGTCTGAGCTGTGGAGGAAATGTCAATTATCCTGCCAACCCAGGTGCCTGTTACAGGTAGTTCTCGTGGCTGGGGAATGGGGCCTGATCCTTCCAGTGCTTCTGGTGTCAGCACCAGTGTGGTCGTGGAGTCAGCGAGGCTGGTTGTAGCCATCAGGTCTCATGGGGGAAGTCGTGGAGGGAATAGATCTTGGTCAGTATTTGGAGGAAATGTGTACGTTGAGCCATCAGTAAATGCTTGCCTGCTGCAGTAGGTTGCAGGACTGTTGGCTCTTTTGAAAATAATAAGCTATCTTTTCCTTTTTAGACCATCCATGATCAAATTTTACAGGAATATCGGAAAATTAAAAAGGTAAGTTAAAATAGCTGGCCACAAAAAAGGCTTTTGGGTGGTGCCCCTAGTGACTGAAAGAGATGGGTACTTGCCAAGTGAAAAACCCAGCCCCTGAAGCTTTCTAGCAGATCTTTGTTCAGCTCCAGCTTGTCCAAAAAGTGATCCCTTCCTGGATCAGAAAGGGTTTGTGGGGAGTCGGAACTGCTCCTTGGATCCTGGGGAGCATTCAGCTGGGTTAGTGGCATGCTAGCACAAGAATGAAATGTGTTCAATTAGTGCCTTTATCCCGTCAAGGGAAAGAACAGTTTGTATTTCAGACGCACAGGCTGAGTGATAACAGGATCCTCCAGGTCTTGGGGTCTGCTGGTGTGTGGGGTGCGATTTGAGCGCAGTCTCTCGGATGAATCGCTGGGGTGCGCAGTCTCAGGCTCAGCGGGGCTTTTTGGCGTGCGGGGCACACAGAATACTTTACATCTCTGTATGTATATGTAAAGCAAGCTGTTGGCTGGAGGGATTTATGGTTAGCTGGATGAGGTAGAAATGCTGAGGCAGGCTGGGGCATCCGTACACCAGGGATGGGGTTTGGGTTTTTTTTAAATCTACGAATATGGCCCTGACCTCTGCTGTCCCTGAGGGATTTAGGAGCTTTTAGAAGAGATTCCCTGTGTGTTGCAAGTTCATCTTTGTTTTAAAGCTCCCAGACTTGCACAATTCAGTGCTAACGTGGGGCAAAGGGCAGGTGATGCTTGCTGGATGCTAATGCGCGGTGGCCCAGCTGCTCCAGGTTAGGCTGAGCTTGCTCAAGGTGCACTCCTTTCCCTGTGATGAGGCTCCTGGAGCTGGGTATTGATGAAAAGGGATTTGTTCTTTGTACTTCTTGTTCTTTGCCTTGTTTGAACAGAGTAGGTCCATTTTAAATGGGTATCTACTCCTCCAGCTAGAAAAGCTTCATTCCTTGGTCGTGTATTTACGCCCTGAGGCCCGATGGCCTCGGCTGGTTTCAGCATAGGTGTCACCGAGTTCTGAAGAATTGCCGTCCGTCACTGCATTTTCATTTTTCTTTACAGACTAACCCCAATTACAGCCAAGAGAAGAACCGCTGCGAATACCTCCACAACAAACTGGCTCATATTAAAAAACTGATAGCAGAGTATGACCAACAGCAGTTTTAGCTGGCACTAATCTGGACTGGGTAGGGCAAAAAAAGTCACCTGGACGTTACGTTCCCCTTTTATACAACTAGATTCCTTTCAGAGACGAGCATTAATTCCTCGTGGTTGAAGATCTTGGGGATTACTTACGATGCCGAATCTGTCATGTCCATGTCTGAGCCGGGTCGCGAGCCCAGCGCCCGGCACGGTCCTCTCGAGTTTTAGCCTCTCTGAATGTCGGAATGTAACAAATGAAAAAGTCTGCTTATTTGAAGCCAGCGTTTGACACTTAAGGGAAAACTTGCCTAAAGTGAACGAAGCTCCCAAAGGTTAAGAATCAGTAGTTTTCATGGATTAAAGTTTGGCATGAAGTGTAATTACCCCTGGCCCAGGTCCACTGGGTTACAAATTGTCCTTCAAATGGTGAGGAACTGGAATGCTGCTAGGTTACCTCCTTCTCTGGCACCTGCGACTGTTCATATGCAAGCTGTCTGCTCTACATGGCACCGCGTTAAATACACCAAGTACCCAGAGCTCTCGTTGTTTGTTCCTGCTTTTGTCATCTCCGGTGTGTGCTCTCTTGAGGTGGTTGTGTCAGTAGGAGGGGATCAGCCCGGGGATCTGCACTGAGTGCCTTGTGCAGTGCAGAAGTGGATCCTTCATGTTAAAAAAAAAAAAAAAAAAAAAAAGGAAATTTTTTTTATCCTCTTTTGCGTTTGGAAGCAGCGGGCGTAAACGTTTTGCAGTGGCCTCTCCAGCATGCGCGGTCCGGTCCGCCTGCATTAACCTTCACGTACCAGTGCTGGGAAGATTGAGACCTGTCTGTCTTTGACTTTTATAATTTTATACCAAGGCAGCCAATTTTATTAATTGCTAATGAGACTATGGTCTATTTTTGTATAAAAAAAAAAAAGCATCTTTTTCTAAAACTGTGCCTCCCTTTTCCTTTTAGGCCAAGTGTTTCAGAACCTTTCCTGTCTTATAACTGCAGTATTACTAAAGCTTATCAGACAGTTACCCAGAGAAGTTATTTTATTACCTGTACTGACCCACAGGAGAGGAGGGGCGGGGGTCTTTCCAAAGAAGCAACAGCAGAAAATCATTCTCAGAACAGGCGCCCGAGCGTGAGAGAAGTAAGGTAGCGTTTTCCCATGCGGGTCACTTCCACTGTTGTGCTTTATCTAGCCAGCTTCTCCGTGCAGTCTTTCTTCTTGATTTTTTTTTTTTTTTGGACTTGAAGGGAACATTTTTAGAGTATGGCCAGGGTGTGAGAAACACGCCAAAAAGCACAAAGGTGTCCTTTAACTCTGCTATTTCTTTCTCTCCCCTCTCCCCTTTTAATCCTGCCAGCCTGTGTGATTTGACTTCTTCCCGCTTCCGTTTATCTCAAAGTAAAGGATTACTTTCCTGTGGCGTCTCCTTCCCTTGGAGGTTGCACTGAAGAGTCTTTCACCCTTTGAAGGAGCGGAATGGCAGAGTTAAGGAGGGAAACAGTTCTTACACAAGGAGCATTTTTTTTTTTCCACCCCCAAAAAAAAAAAGTGGGTCCATCTGCTGTCTTAAAAAAAAAAAAAAAAAAGAAAAAAAAAATAATGATAATTCCATTCTGGCTAGATTGGTTTTGCTGCATCATCCAGCCAGGGCCACCGCTTTGCTTTGTCACTTGCAATGTTCTGAGTTTCTCTCCCTGCTGCGTTGCGTCCAGCGCTCACCAGGACTTTGCCATCCCGTTCTTCAGATGAAAGCCTACGGCTGAAGGGACGCGGTGGAGCTGCGCGTTACCGGTCCGGCAAGCCTCCGGCCGTGGTCCACGGACTGCCACGGGACAGCCACGATTTTCTGCTGGTCTGCAAACCCAAACCTGTTCAGAAGCAGAGTGGTGAAGGAGAGGGGGGGGAAGAGATGAGATGTCCGAGGAGCGCGGTAGTCCCTAGGGTGAGCACCCTGGAGAGCCTTACTAGGGAAGTCCCGACGAGCATCTCGGGGCTCGGGGAACGCTTCGGTCCCATTTCTTCCTCTCTGAATAAAGACAACTGGAGGTTAGGGAGCCGTTTCTCTTGCGGGAGTACCTGTTCGTGTAACGTTGCCTGCCTCCGGTGCTTCTGCTCGTCAGGGAAAGCTGGAAAATACCTGAGAGTTAAAGGCAAGGAGCCTCTGTCCACAAAACTTTGTCCTGCTCAGTGGGGTCTTGCACCTGGTCGGTGCATGAGTTTCTTAAGCCGTAAGCGGTGGCTGGGGGCAATGTCCAAGCTCAAGCCTCACCTAGGCTCCGATTCCAACACCCCCCCCAGCTGTGAATTTGTGCACCGAGGTGGATTTCACCGGATCCGCAGGGATCTGGGAGGGGGCATTAGGCTGCATGGAGGAACCGGGATGCTGCCTTTTGTCGGACCTGCTGAGAGATTTGTCACTGCAAAACCTGGTCGGTGCCAGACCCACGAGCGGCGTCGCCAGCCGGCGGTTGCACAGATTTCGGTGTTCTCGGTGGCAAGGCCGAATTTCCCAACGCCCACCCGTCGCGGGGCTCGGTGGGACTTCATCTCCAGCTGCGGTGCGTGAGGAGCCCGAAACTCGGATGGCAGAAGAGGCAGCAGCTACAAACCCAGGATGAGTAAATTCTTCCATGGAAACACTTCTCCTTCTGATCCTTAATATTTTGAAGGGGTTTTTTTGTTGCTTTGGGGGGGGGGGGGGGGGGGGATTGCAAACAGAGTTGTATACAAAGATGTATTGTGTACATTTACATGTATATTCTGGAACTTCTAAAATTTGAATATAAAAACTGAAAATATTTAATGAATATCCAAACTGTGAGACCCAATTAGCATTCAACAACTTTCTGCTTCACTTTTCTTTTGGACTGTGTTAAAGAATTGTAGTCGAATCTGCCTTTTTTTTTTTTTTTTTTTTTTTGAGATTATGAAGCTAGGCAAATTTTGTGCTTTTTGGGTTAATAGAAACCAGTTCTAGGTGATTAAGTATGATCTTAACTTATTGATACTGTGTTTTACTTTGTAATATTGTACTGTGGATAAAACTATATTGAGCCATGGAGTTGGAGTTTACAAAAGAGCTTTTCACTTTGCCAAAATGTTACAATTTAAAGGCAGCATAAGATTATGAAGCTAGGCAAATTTTGTGCTTTTTGGGTTAATAGAAACCAGTTCTAGGTGATTAAGTATGATCTTAACTTATTGATACTGTGTTTTACTTTGTAATATTGTACTGTGGATAAAACTATATTGAGCCATGGAGTTGGAGTTTACAAAAGAGCTTTTCACTTTGCCAAAATGTTACAATTTAAAGGCAGCATAGTCTTCAGCTTTCCTAATCTTTTCTTAAGAGCTAGTGTCTTTTTTGTACACTAAAAAGCTGAATGCTGATTTTGCAACATATAATAAATTCACTGTATTGGAAAACAAGCAAACAATAAGGTTGTATATTTCTTTTCAGTGCTGCTTACTGCAAGAAAACTCGAAAGGGAAAGGTGATAAATGGCTGGTGTGGAGTTTGAAAGTGGGAAACTTAAAGGAACCAAGTCAGTTGAGTGAGCTTAAGTATCGGAGCCGTAGGTAAGAAACATGAGAAGGAAAAGGTGCCGTCCATTTTCTAGCCGCTTGCTGCGTACGGGGAGAGCTCTCGCCCAGCAATGCTGCCACGGAGCGGCCTTGCTCTTTGGGGAAGCTTTTCTGGTGCTCCGGTGGGATCCGCGTCTCCGTGCGGTGGCAGGAGCTGGGCGTCTTCCCACTCCGATGCCGTGAGCACCCAGGTTTTTTTGGGGGGAGAGCTGCATTCAGAGAGGCAGCCATTGCTGGTGTCGGCGTGGAGGTTTAGGGGGGTCCTACGAGCACAGAGCACGGCAGCCTGGGGGTGCACGGCCCCGGGCAGACGGGGCTCGGCAGGAGCAGTGGGAGGGCTCGGAGCTGAGCAGGAGGTGCGAGGGCCTTGCTCCTTCCCTCGGGATTGATGGTGCTGGAGCTTCCTCAGCTACGGTGGCTCTTTCTGACAGGGCTCTGCACTGCTCTGGGGCTCCTGGGGAGGGTCCGGACCTGGTTCAGGTGCCCCCCATCTGCAGAAGGGGCTGCTGCCTTTCCCTGCCGGTGAGCCGAGCTGGGTTTGACGTCCGAGCTCGCTCGCGTGGGGGGTGAGTCACGGCCGTGGGGAGCCGGAGCAGGGACATCGATGCTGCCAGAGCAGCGAGGTGGGGATGAGCCTGGCGCAGACGCTGCCGCTGCGCTGCCTGTCCACGCTGCCGCAGCTCCCACCTCCACCCACGGGTCTGAATCATCTGGTTAAAGCTCAGGATACAAATAGCATCTCCGTAGTATCGAGACTTTGTCCTTTTACTGCCGTCACGATGGCTGCTTGGTCCTGGCTTCTGCAGCATCCCTGGGTCTGCTGCTCGCCGTGGCTGGAGCAGGCAAAATAAGAGAGAGTATAAAAACCCTCCGGTAACTGCTCAGTATGGTAAAACGCTCCGAATAGCTTCTGTTGTCCTTCAGCGATTGCTGTGCTGCCTGCTTTGGGATCCCCTCCTCTAGCAGGGACGACAGTCGCAGGTTCACTGGTCTTGCTTGATCCACCCGTTTGCGTAACGAGCCCGTGTTCCTCCCCGGCTCTCTTGGCTTTGGTGCAGGATTCTGGACTCTGCCTCCAAAATAGCAAAATATGGAGAAAGATAAAATAATCCAGCAATCAAGTAATATCTTACAAATGCCTTGGCTTTTTTTTTTAAAGGTGGGGGGAACGGAGAGGGCCAGCCTTGACCTTAGAGTTGACACAACGGCACGAGCTTTGCGCAGGGAGGCAACGCTCCCAAGGCCGGTGAGGGTTTGCTCGGCCGGGGCACTCGGTTATGGAGCAGGAGCCGAGACGCGTTGGGTGAGCTGATGCTCTCGCAAATCCCCAAATCATCAGGTTTTTAGTTTCAGATGTCACCTCTGAGACAAGCTACACCCCCCGGGCCCCCCTTTTACCATCTTTAATTGCTCACTCATCTGGGCTTCACCCCTGGGGTGTTCATCTGGATAAAGGCTGGGTCCTGTCCCCTGGGACCCGTGTGGGGACGTGTGCGGGGACACTCGTGCAGGAAGGGTCCCTGTCCCTTCTCGTCCCAGCTTTCCTGGGGAATTCCTCTCAACCACTGGCAGCTCCTGCTCTGGCCGGGGTCACGCACTGAGCTCATTAACTCAGAGCTGCCCCAGTGGAAATTTACTGGCTGAGTCCGCCGTGCCAGAGCCAGCCGAGCTCCTGCCGCTGCCGCCTTATCTGCGCCCAGCCGGGGACCGCGGCGTGGGGACAAGGAGCAGCATCGATTTCGGGCTGCGTCCGCGCGGCCCTCCTGCGCACCGAGGCTGAGCCCACCGAGCGGGTTCCCGAGGAGCCCCGGGCTCTGAGAATTCAGGTTGCACCTGGCAAAAGCGTCACTTTGCAGCTCTCGGGCACAAGCTGTCCTTAAACGAGGGTCGTGCACATGTGGGAAGGCCGAGATGACCCCGCGGCGTCCGGGCTGCCCGCTCGGCTTTGAGGGATACTGGAAAAACGGCAAAAGCAATGGCAAAAGCACTCTGGGTTTTTCCCATGCACCTTTTGCTTGTGGCTCGTTTACAGGAGGAAGCTCATTAGAATAATTTGTCCTTGACACGGTCCCATGGTGCTGGTCCCTCTTGCAGAGCAGCTGCCGAGCGTGACTGCCCCGAATCGCCCGTCCCTCTGTCCCTTTCCACGCGTGGGTCTGTCCTTGGGCACGCAGCACTCGGAGGGTGATGGCACAGGAGAGGACAAGGAGCAGCGAGCGGCCGGTGCCGGCAAAGATAACGAAGGGTCAGAGCCTGGGGATCGTTTTACACAAGGGGAAAAAACCCAAACGTGAACGGAGGAAAACGTGGCCAGGCGGTGCCAGGGCTGTTTGTGTCTGTAACCCATAAATCTGGGGCTGCTTGGGTTGGCCTTGACCTCCTGGGGGGGCGAGGGGGGGTCCTGCCCGCATCCCCCTGCAGCCGAGCCCTTCCCAGCGCAGGGAGCATCTCCGCCAGCAGCACCGGCTCGCGCAGAATCGGGCCCTGAACCTGCTTTGTAACGAACCGCCGGGGACTTCGTGCCGCCCCGGCTCCCGCGGCCGGGGGGTCCCGGGGGCTTGGTGGCCTGG